TTCAGCATTATAGTTTTTCTTTGCAAATTTGGAAAGTGAACTTTTTCTTCTCATTGTTCCTTTTTCTTATAAGTTTAATTATTTCCTGCAAAGAAAGAGAAAAATATTAGTACTAAAAATTAGATTCCAGCTCAACTTATGCATGATGTTTTTCTCTTATCAAATTCTCTCACACTTAAATGTTTGCTTGTCCTCGAGCAAAAAAGAATATCAAATAAACATGGTAGCTAAACACTTTAAGTGAAATCATGAGAAGTTTTGACAGAGAAGAATTAATTAAGACTAATCCACGAGTTCAAACAACTTTAACCGTACTCATGTTCACCTATTGAGTATCGAAATCATAATAATTTTTTAATCCCAAGTGTGTCTCACTAGATGAAGAGAGATGCCCATATATTGCACAATATATAGATAAAGAACAGAGAAGGGCATGAATAAAAAATTTCGCTTACTCTAAAAAAAAAAGTACCTCAAGCTACTGGAAATTACCATAAGCTTGACTATAATGTGATTCTCTACTAATATAAGACTCTATGAGTTGAGATCATGTAGGACTTTTACAAGGTTGTAATGAAGGCTTAGGGATCGGAAGGATACATATGGATAATAGTGACTCAAATTCCCTGTAGGCTCTACACTTTACTTTATCGCTCAAGCACGACTGTTTTCCATATTTCTTTAAGCAATCGACATCCCCCTTCTTCTTCTTCTTCTTTTTTAAACCCATTCACAACTTTCATTTTTTTTTCACAAGCAACTTTTTTTTTATTTTATAAAAACATCTCAAGAGATCAACAAGCTCAAATACTTGTTCTTACATCAGTTCTTTCCACAATTACACCTCACCCCTAGATTTTTACATTTAGATCAACTCTTAAAGTGCCCAAAGGGAATTGGGTGAACAAATAATAAGTCTTAACAACAAACAAGATAAGAGTTGAAGCTTGGCTACCAAAAATAATAATAATAATAATAATAATTTATTTAGGCTCAGCTGGGCTAACTAGGGATAAAGATCATCAAGGTAGGTTAATTTAGGCAGTGACTCAACAAAGAAGGCCTACTTTCATTTCTCAACTCAAAGATCTACCTAGAATTTCGCTTTAAACCACATTCAAGGCAAGTTCTAGATTTCCAAATAAGCAGGAGAACTAGACAATATAAGCTAACCGCACAATACACTTGGAGCCACAAAAATTATGATTTCAATCACCAATAAGTAAGTATGAGCTTAGAAAGGTAATCATAAAACCCGTGATTGGTACTTAATCAATTTCGTTTTTTTTAAGTCTCATGCTTTTCAAGTCAAATCAAGTTTAGCCAACTTATTTACCAAAACAAATTAAACAACTAAAAGTCCTAAAAAAAATGTTCGATTCAAAATATTACGACCATGGCAAAGAACCGAACAAGAAATCCATGTAAGTACATGAAATAAGTCGCCTTAGGAATAAGGCAACTCAATTTTTATCAAGTTTTTTGTTACCTTTTGCTTTTAATAGAGGAAAAAGAAAAAACTTTAAAGAAAAACATATATAACAAAAATATTCCTCTACCCCAAGCTTAAATAGTATCATGTCCTCATGATAAACAAATAAAAAAAATAAAAAATAAAAGGAGATAAAGGTGCTTCCCTGATTTTTTTCCGATTTTGGACTCATTTCCTTTTCCATGGCTTCTCAAGGTTTTTCTCATATAACAAAGATAAGATTATGGCAAAGAAAATATTCTTTTTCATTATAGGAGAAAACTTTCATTGTCAAAATCNATGTATGTTGTATTTCAATGGCACCATAAGGGGTAACTTCTGTTACAATGTACGGTCCTGACCAATGTGACTTGAATTTTCCCGGGAATAATCTCAACCGGCTATTGTACAAAAGAACTTGGCCTCCAATTGTAAACTCCTTATGGCGAATGAAGTTATCATGCCATTTTTTTGTTTTTTCTTTGTACAAATTAGCATTTTCATATGCTTCAAATCTGAACTCCTCCAATTCATCAAGCTGCAACAGACGGTTTTTACCTGCATCTGGGAAATTTAGATTTAACAACTTTATAGCCCAATATGCTTTATGTTCAAGTTCCACGGGTAAATGACAAGCTTTTCCAAAAACTAATCTATAAGGAGATGTGCCTATGGGAGTTTTGAAAGCAGTTTTGTATGCCCATAAAGCATCATCTAACTTTAAAGACCAATCTTTTCGAGAAGAACCAATAGTTTTTTCTAAAATTCTTTTTAATTCTCTATTAGATACTTTAACTTGTCCGCTTGTTTGAGCATGATATGAAGTTCCTGTTTTATGAGTTACTCCATATCTTGATAACAAACTAGCAAATTGTTTATTTACAAAATGAGTTCCCCTATCGCTTATGATAACTTGTGGAGTTCCAAATCTAGAAAAAATATTTTTCTTGATAAAAGTACAAACAACATGAGCATCATTTTTTCTAGTGGCCATTGCTTCTACCCATTTTGAGACATAGTCAACAACAACTAAAATATATTCACAACCGTTTGAAGGAGGAAAAGGACCCATAAAATCAATGCCCCAAACATAAAATATTTCACACATAAGGATAGAGTTAAGAGGCATCTCATCCCTTTTTGAAATGTTACCGCTTCTCTGGCATTTGTCACAAGTGGCGACATAATTTCTTGCATCTCTAAATAAAGTGGGCCACAAAAACCCAGCTTCAAGCATTTTTGCGGCTGTTCGTCTTCCTCCGTAGTTTCCTCCTACAGCTCCATCATGACAGTGGCTTATGATATTGTTCATCTCTATTTCTGCTACACATCTTCTGATCATACCATCTGCACAAAATTTAAACAAGTCAGGATCTTCCCAAAAATAGTATCTTATTTCTTTTTTGAGCTTTTTTCTTTGTTTGTAAGATAAATCTTTTGGGATCCATCCTCCAACTAAGTAGTTGGCAATGCCAGCAAATCAAGGTGTCTGATTTGTAACTGTAGCGATTGTATAAACATGCTCGTCAGGAAATTCCTCCTTGATATCTGTTGTTTCAGTTGGAGGATTTTCCAAACGTGATAGGTGGTCAGCCACCTGATTTTCTGAACCTTTTCTATCTTTTATTTCAAGATCAAATTCTTGCAAAAAAAGTATTCATCTTAGCAATCTAGGTCTAGCATCTTTCTTTGCTAAGAGATATTTTAAAGCAGCATGATCAGTAAATACTGTAACCTTCATTCCTATCAAATAGGAACGAAATTTGTCAAATGCAAATACTACTGCAAGTAGCTCCTTCTCAGTTGTGGCATAATTCTTTTGAGCTTCATTGAGGGTTCTACTGGCGTAGTAAATAGGCCTGAAAATCTTGTCTCTCTTTTGTCCCAATATTGCTCCAACTGCTATATCACTTGCATCACGCATTATTTCAAATGGTTCGCTCCAATCAGGAGAAATAACAATTGGAGCATTAGTCAAATGTTCCTTCAGAATCACAAATGCTTTCCTGCAATTATCTGAAAATTCAAAATTCACATCTTTCATCAGTAGGTTAGTCAGAGGTTTTGAAATTTTTGAAAAATCTTTTATAAACCTTCTATAAAAACCTGCATGACCTAAGAAGCTTCTTATACCTTTAACAGTGGTAGGAGGGGGTAATCCTGCTATAAGATTAATTTTAGTCTTATCAACTTCTATTTTTTTAGCAGAAATTTTATGTCCTAAAACAATTCCCTCTGTTACCATGAAGTGACATTTTTCCCAATTAAGAACCAAATTTGTCTCTTCACATTTTTTAAGCACCAAAGTTAAATAATAGAGGCAATCTTCAAATGTCATACCAAAAAGTGTGAAATCATCCATGAAAATTTCAAGAAACTTTTCAGTCATGTCTGAGAAAATTGCCGACATGCAACGCTGAAATGTAGTAGGAGCGTTACATAGTCCAAAGGTCATTCTTCTGTAAGCATACGTACCTTGGGGGCATGTGAATGTGTTTTTTCCTGATCTTCTGGAGCAATTAGTATCTGATTATACCCTGAATATCCGTCAAGAAAGTAGTAAAAACCATGGCCTGCAACTTTTTCAAGCATTTGGTCAATAAAAGGTAAAGGAAATGATCTTTCCTTGTGGCATCATTAAGTCGTCTGTAATCAATACAGACTCTCCATCTTGTGACTGTTCTAGTAGGTATGAGTTCATTATTTTTATTTTTTATTACTATCATACCTCCTTTCTTTGGTACTACCTGTACAGGACTCACCTAAGGACTGTCAGATATTGGATAAATGATACCTGCTGCTAGAAGTTTCACCACTTCTTTCTTGACGACTTCCTGCATTGCTGGGTTTAGTCTCCTCTGGGGTTGGACTATTGGCTTGTAATTAAGAATCCTATGCGTGCAAATAGCTGGACTGATTCCATTGATGTCAACTATAGTCCATCCTAAGGCTCTTTTGTGTTCTCTTAACACCTTCATTAGTTTTATTTCTTGTTCTGCAGTCAAAGAAGATGAAATAATTACTGGAAATAATTCAGGTTCAAGAAAAAGATATTTCAAATGAGAAGGAAGAGTTTTGAGTTCAATTTTTGGTTGAACTTCTTCTAGTGAGACTTTCTCAGTTTCAGAATTTTTTTCCAGTATTTCAGCTTCTTTTCTGATTGTGATGTCATCATCACTTGTGGTACCTGACTGTGCCAAACATCTTTCCAATGAATCAGTAATCAGTTGATCATCTTTATATTCATCTGCAAGGTGATTCAACAAATCAATTTGAAAACAAGATGATGATGACTCATCTTTAGGATATTTCATTATTTTCTGCATATCAAAAATCACTCTTTCCTCATCAACTCGCAAAATTAATTGTCCTTGATGGACATCAATTATTGCTCTTCCTGTTGCAAGAAATGGTCTGCCTAAAATCAATGGTACCTCAGTATTTTCTTCCATTTCAAGTACTATAAAATCTACTGGAAATATAATTTATCAACTCTAACAAGGACATTTTCAAGTATTCCTTTCGGTTTTTAAGTACTTTGATCAGCCAATTGTAGAGACACACCAGTGTCCCTCATTTCACCAAGTTCTAATTTTCTGAAAATTGAAAAAGGCATTAGATTTATTGAAGCACCTGAATCACATAATGCTTTTTCAAAGTTATGCTTTTTCTGTGGAAGCTTATTTTGAAGTATAACACTACATTTTTCTGTAAGCATAATTACTGAAACTTCTTCCAGTTTTCTTTTACTTGACAAAATTTCTTTAAGAAATTTAGCATATGCCGGCATTTGCTTCAAAGCATATGTAAAAGGTATGTTAATGTAAAGCTGTTTTAAAATTTCTAGAAACTTTGAGAACTGTTTGTCAAGCTTTTCTCTTTTTAGCTTTTGGGGAAATGGGAGGGGTACAGAGTAAGGATTTGTCATCAATTCATTTTCTTGTACCCTTTTTCCTTTATCTTTTTGTTCTTTTAGAAGTTCAGAGTCTCTTTTATTCTTACTTTCATTTACCTGTTCAACTTCTTGTGGATTTCCTTGTCTATCTGCATATGGATCATCAAGAGTTTTACCTGACTGTAGAGAGATGGCTTTGAAGTGTTCCTTTGGATTTTTCTCGGTGTTACTTGGTAAAGAACCTTTTATTTGCCCAGACATGAGGGTTGCTAATTGGCTTACCTGAATTTCCAAATTCTTGATAGCTGAATGTTGACTTTCAACCTTCTCGTCAGTAGCCTTAATGAATTTGTACATCAGGTCTTCAAGGCTTTGTTGATGGGCTCTGTGGGGCTACTGCTGATTTTGTTGAAAATTTTGTTGCCCTTTATTTTGATTTTGAAAACCAAGTAGTCGTACCTGCTGCTTTTGATTAAAAAATCTTTGAGGATTTTCAGCACCATTAGGATTACTCCACTGAAATCCTGGATGTTTTTGTGTCATGGGACTACCAAATGAGTAATTATTTCTATAACCAATCATATTTACCTGTTCCTCATTTTGTGTTGAAGCTTGACACTCATGATTGGGATGATTACCTCCACAAACGTCACAATTCTCAAGTTGAGATGATGATTGATTATTTACCTGAAAGGCCTCAACTTTTTGTGTCAGAGTTGCAATTTGTTGCGCTAATGAATTCCAAGCTTCCACTTGATTGACTCCTGCTGTTTTTTAACAATCATTCAGTCAAAGGGCCATTGAACAACATTTTCTGAAATTTCATTAAGCAATTGCATAGCGTCTGCAATGGTTTTGCTCATTATGGATCCTCCTGATGTTGCATCAATAACATTTCTAGCAAAGGGTTTAAGACCATGATAAAAAATATATAAGATGTCAGGATCTTCGATACCATTGTGTGGGCATTTTCTTAACATTGCTTTTAATCGTTCCCATGCTTGGTATACAGATTAAAATTATTGATTTCTTGCTTCATTTTAAATGTTTTTGCAGGTGAAAAATATTTATTAAGAAATTTCTGAGTCATTTGGTCTCATGTAGTGATTGAACCTCTTGGCAGACTTCGCAACCATGTTTTTGCTTCACCTTTTAATGAAAAAGGAAAAAGCCATAACCTGATAGCGTCTGTTGTGACTCCATTATACCTGCAAGTTTCAACTAATTCAAGAAAATCAATTAGATGGGTGTGAGGAGCTTCACTCGCAACACCAGCAAACTGACATGACTGTTGAATGGTTTGAATCAAGCCTATGCGAATTTCAAAGTTGTTTGCTGCAATTGGTGATCTCCTCACACTTGATTCTCCTTCAAAATGATCCGGCCTTGCATAATCTCTGAGTATTCTATCATGTCGTGGAGCCACCTCATCGAGCTGTTCTTCCACTTGATGTGGTGGAAGTTGGTTATTATTAAGCTCTTCATTCTCCATTTCTTCACAAGTTATACTTTGAGGAGATGATGTTTGTTCTTTCCTGCGCAATCGAAGAGTTTTTTCAATTTCTGAATCGTAATTCGCCAACTCTTTTGTAGAAGAGCGAGTCATAAACTACCTGAATTCCTTAAAGAAAAGAATTTTTTTTTGAAAGAAAATCAAACTTAGTTCCTAAAATAGTAGTGGTGATACTAAAAAGAAAAAAATGGATAATTAAAATAGTAGTAGTAATTAATATAACTAGTGATACTAATTAAAAATAGAAAATAAAATATGTTTTTTTAATGAAATGAGCTAGCTGATCCTAGAAACAATAGGATGATACCAACAACAACAGCCTAGTATAATCCCACAAGTGGTGTCTGGGGAGGGTAATATGTACGCAGACCTTACCCCTACCCCGAGGGGAAGAGAGGCTGTTTCCAGGAGACCCTCGGCTCAACACAGCGACAAGAGATGATATATTAGTACTATCAATAGACTCATAATAAAATAACATAACATAACATAAAATAAAAATAACAGCAATATAAGAAATATAGGAAGTACGAAAAAGATGGAAGATATAATAATATCCAGCAGATAAAGCCCTGCATCAGTAGCTGACCAGTAGCATCCTAAGACTAACTTCTAACTGGCTAGTCTCACTCTAGTGCGCTGTAGAAATACTCACAACTTCCCCCTA